TTCGGTTAATCATGCGACAACTTTTAATGAATTGGAAATTGATATTATTTTATTACAAACAATTGACAAAGAATCACATGCAGCGAGACAAGTGTTTCGTCTGGTTTATTTTTACGATATTTAGAAAACGAAATAAAATTGCTAGATACAATCGTAATTTTTCTATTTTCAACAAATCAATATAATCAGATACAGATACTATAACTACTACATAACTAAATTTCGATCCCAGTCAAAAGTGATTGAAAATTACCCAACATTGCAGCCGTATGTTGTTATAATGCAAAACTAAACTAAGGGTCTGGACCCTTTTGCATCAGGGTAAAAGTCAAGGGACGAACGGAATTGATCGCTATAAGCGACATCGAATGACAATTTCGATGGTACATCCATTAAAGTTGTCCCCACCACATTTACCAACTGATATCCAATCATTTTACAGTCTCACGTTCGACTCAAAAACTGAATGCCATCACTTTTATTCGACGCTCACCATAAATTATCTTCAAATAATATGACTATTGAAGTGCTCAAGCGGCAGACGACCATCTGAGTTAATGCTTCGAAGAATTGCCAAAAGAAGATGCGCTCTTGCAGAAGATGTTCATTGGTCACGACACACTCTCACACACCTCGGCAAGAGTATCTGCAACCCAATGCATTTGTGGCGAATTGTCGAAAGTGTGAACGCATATCAGTGCCAGACAAACGAAAGCAATTTTTCAACACATACGACAATTAAGATTTCTGTCAGATTCGTGGGCGAAGGATTGAATTCAATTTAAATAAGATATCCCGAGGTGCTGCGTGGGTATCAGCTGCCGTTGGTGTCTTCTGAAGCGACGATTGGAGCAAATACCGATACTTATAACATGGGACAGTACAAATACCCTGGGCAGCACGAAGTGTAGGACGAGATATTTGCTTTGATGCTCGGAATACAGACTGCTTGAATCAATTGCATGCGATTCAAAATAATTAATGTGTATACCCAAACGTGTGTTTAAAAATGAAGACGATGTGGTCGATCATTTAACCACTCCTGATATTGAACTTTATCAAATCGAATTGTTGTCACCTGTGTTCAGCGATGCCTAACTTCACAATTTAAATCACCTTTAACCAATTGGATATTATTATTTTTTGACACTATTTTATTTTATTACAACACAAAAAATGATATCAATGCAGAAACATATGATTATTTAAGAAAAAAAATTTAAGGTTTAGCATGACATCCGTGGATGAATAAGGGTGTAGTATATTTAGTTACTATTGAAATTAGTTTTCAACAAATATTCAATTCTCTGAAAAAGATGTGCATTCCAAAAGAGATGTTGAGTATTGACCATAATAAAATGTTAGTACCATTTCGTTTCTTTGTTATCTTATAGTATGTATTACCAATAACCAAACATACCAATTCTCATCGCAACACAAATCTATACTAATTTTGGTACCATTTATTACCATTCGTACTCTTGCAGTACTTATTTCCAACACTAATTCCAAATTTCATGATTCGAGCTCTGTAGGTTCACTCAAATCGTAATTTTGGTACAATTTAAATTGTACCAAATTTGGTACGATTTAGTACACATTAGTATGAATTTCCAAAACTTCCTGCATAGGCCAATTCTACTCCTCAACAATGATACTAACTCAAAATATCAGGATCTCAGCACTATCGGTTCACACAAAATTCAAATTGTACCAAAGTTAGTACCATTTAATACCCATAAGTACCAACAGTAACCATATTTCCAAATTTCAGCGTTCTAGCTCCATCGGTTTACCCAAACGAACATTTGGTACTATTAAGTACACATTAGTACAAATTTCCAAAACTACCTACATACACCAAGCCTACACCTTAACAGTGACCCTAACTTCAAATTCCAGGATTACAGGTCAATCAGTTCACCCAAAATCCAAATTGTACCAAATGTAGTACCTATTAGTACTTTTCGTGCACATAAGTACATATTACAAAAACTATCTATATATCGCTATCCTACACTCCGACGATTATGTTAATTTCAAATTTAAAAATTCCATCTTCACCCGTTTCCCTAATTTCAAATTTTGTAAAGGTAGTACTTTTTGTATACATGAGTATACGCTTTACCACCCCCTTATACAGGCCATACTTCTCAACCTTAATTCACATTCCAAACTTCAAGTTTTTAGCGCTATCCCTTCACATGCTACGGAGTTGTACCAAATTTCCAAAAAAAAACCCTTTGGTAAATTTATCCTACACTCCATCCATCCGAATTTCAGAGTTCTAGCTCCATAGGTTCGCCTAATGCAAATGGTTTTACATGTAGTACTTTTTAGTAGTTTTCGTGCCGTTCTAGTACGAATTTGAAGAAATCCCGCCTTATCTGACCGCTTTGGACCAGAATGACACCCTCACCCACAATTTCAGTCACTCTTTTATTAGTTTAGATACTCTTAAATTATATTTTTCTACATTTTGTCTACATATGTTCGATAGATAATAATGACATATGTTTCCCAATTATCTGAAATACCCTCATGTATGTACTTATATATACAATCGATTTATCTTTGTAAGCATGTATAATCTTGAGAATAATATAAGTTTACTCTCTTGATGTTCTCTCCGATTTTACTGAAAAGCCTCGGGGTGCTCCACAAAAAACAAAAACAAGATTTTAGCATGTTTTTGGTAAGCTGTTATCGCTTAAGGAAAAACAAAAATAAACGAAATGCTTCCCCATTACAATGGATAATTCACACTGAAGATCAAATCTGTGATGACGAGTATATGAGTGTCTTGGAATGAGCACATCCAAGTCATTGACATTTCGATAATTTTCGAGTAACACTTGAACCGGCAGTTTATTAGCAAGAAATATGTTCAGATTGCAGTGTCGAGTGGACCTGTTGCCTTTACGGATAAAAGTTGTTGTAAAATGTATTTGAAAATATATTTATGTACAAAACGTTTGTCTGTGACTGTTTCGACTATTGGTATTTACGTGTGTACGAACACACACACACGCGATGGCACATTTTACAGCTGATATAAACAAAAACTTTGTAGAACACGCATATACTCACCAACAGTGGCCCAAAGAGATAACGAAAAGCCCAGATGAAATATGTTTAATCATTGGCAAGATAACAAATACATACATTTTATGTTTGTTGTTGTTTTACTACTGTTGTATAGAAAAACATTTTAAAATTGTAAATCACACTATTATAAATGAATGATTAGGCACAAATCGTAGTTGCGTTTCGAAAAGCCACTGCTTTGGGTCACAGTAGTACACAACTTTTGGCAACTTCAAATGCCTGCTACTTGGTTGGCGGCAGTCTTGAAACCGATGTCGACAAAGACTGGCCATTTTGGAATAGTTTAACGACAAAGTGATCTGTGTTTAGTTTCACAAAACAAAAATATATATAAATTTCGTTTTGAACAGTTGCTGTTCATTCGGTTGTGTAATTCTCTGCAAACGGAGGCCGGTCGGGTCTACAGAATTCTTAGCTGTGCGGGCACGTGGGGTGTGGGTAATTTACATTAATTATTAAAAGCGGAATGGAAAAATAAACAAAACAAAGAAAATTAAAACAAAACAGAAACAATCGATTCGACTTCATCAGCTGGAATGTATTTCGAATTAAGCGAGTGAATGAGTGGATTTGTGAGAGCAACAACATAGTTGCCAACAAAGTGAAATGCACAAAACACTTCGCAAAACAAGTGTTATTTTTCTGAAATGTCAAAGTCATTTGGTTTGCAGTATGATGGGTTATGTGAACTTTATACCAATAAGTTCCGAATTCATTGACAACATTCGCTGTGATAAACATCAGACTATGCCTTTTTTATTGCGATAGCAAAGGACTTCTGTGACCAAGGCCTAATATATTATTCTGTTCAGGGCACAGTATGTGAGTCTATCTTTGGCCAAACTTACAGACATATATTTTGTATGTGATGTCAGAACGAGTCGAGGGGCACCTTCAGTCCAAGCATTAGTTAATATTGAAATAATGATTGATGTGAACGTTCAAATTGCTCCAAGTGAGATAATTGCATGTGAATGGAATAAAAACAATGAAACTGCAAAAACTCAACACTTTATCATTCAAACGTGCACAGTGTTTCCTAAGCGCAAATGAAATATTTATATTTTCAGTTATTGGTTCAATTATACAAATTCATGTGGGAAATAATGACAATTCGGTCACATTCGTAAAAATGCCAATAGACAAAATCCTCTAGTCATCTACAAAAACAATGTGATCTCAGATAAATACGATGTGGTTGCCACGAATCTAATTCTAAACATTAAGGCACTGTTTCAGGAATTTATATTGAGACGACTGAAATGTATTGTGGACATCATACTAAACACGAACATGACGTTCTTCAGTTTTTAGTCTGTAAAAACGCACAATCATGATAGAGTCGGATGATGTGATGCATTTCTGGGGAGGGGTAAGGCTGGTGTAGATAATATTTGTTGTTTCTATTAATTTTTTGTTTGGTGTAGATAATAAAAGTCGTTTGTAGTTAGCGTGCAAAAACCCAATGTGCATAGACTCTTTGATTTTCATTTCGAAACAAAAATTACAAAATTATAGTTTTTAGCTTTTAGCTATTTAGTTTGTAAGTGAACGTACAGCGGACAAGTTCCAAGCAAACGAATATCCAATAAGTGTTGTGGCATTTTGGCTGATAAATTTTATTGCTTACAGATAAAACCAAATTCAAGTTTTTGTGGCAAGACCAGAAAACGTAGAATCATACCTGGTGTTTGGTAAATTAGTGACGATGGCAAATACTACCTTCACGATAAATGGTGTTCCATATACAGGTCTGTACGATCAGAGAAAGACACAAATACTGAAGATGATCACGTTTGTTATCTCTGACATCCTCATCTTATTTAGTGAATCTATCAACGCTGGCTCCTGACATAACACTGAACACGTTCATCAGAGAGCATGCTCAGTTGACGGCTACAAAGTTCATGTGCTTAGAGGGAGGGTGCGGAGCCTGTGTGGTATCGATCAAGGGGAAACATCCTGTTACGGGCGATACTCAAACGTGGGCAGCAAATTCGGTAAGTGTATTTCTTCAGATATTCCATGTTAAGCGAAATAGAGCTCATTATATATATGTATATATTATCGATATATAGATAAGCAGATTTTCCTCATTATTTATATCATGTTTCCAATACAATTTTATAAATGATTATGATATCAAATGTAAATAATTATGATATTAAAACGAACAATTTAAGTTCACGGTTCTGGTTTCTATTCCTTAAGCATGTCCATGTGAACTTAAACCATTTTCATTATAGAATAAACCAATACGAATGCATCGGGCGATTTCAAAAACTTTCATTGGACTGTAGTATCCAACTTTCTATAAAAACTTTATGATTACCAAAAAGTACATTTTAGAAAAATCAATATTTAAATTACATTGGCAAATAAATTGCAATCATTAAGTAACTCTGACAATAGAATATAAATTTCAATACATTTAGTCGACACACCGACCAAACTGTATATTGATGTGAGTAATCGTCGCAATTTCAGTTGTTTGCAACTTCCCCTCTTATGGTACATCTAATTGCTTTACTTTCCAGTATTCATTCGTTGGCATTTAGTCAGCTGTTATTACAACAATATAATATACCGATATTTTCGTTACAATACAATCAATTGAATTCCATTTATACGTGGAATTTCACGTGTTGTAGGAATTGCTACAACAATTCAAATGTAAATCACAATGAATTCAATAATTTAATAAAGAATCCTTTGACAAATTATTATCTTATTATTTGTCTGCATTCTTTGTGAATATCCATGGTCCAATTCCAGTGCCTTACCCTGTTGAACACTTGCAGTAATTGGGAAATCACCACCTGCGAAGGAATTGGCAATAAGCGCGATGGCTACCACCCAATACAAAGGAGAATGGCTAAAATGCATGGAACCCAGTGCGGATTCTGTACTCCAGGCTTCGTCATGAATATGTATAGTTTGTTGGAGGCGAAAGGTGGCAAAGTAACTATGGAGGAAGTGGAAAATTCATTTGGGGGTAATATCTGCAGATGTACCGGCTACAGGCCTATTTTGGATGCAATGAAATCATTTGCAACTGATAGCAATATACAAGTGCCTGAAGAATGTCAGGATATTGAAGATCTGTCGAAGAAGACATGCCCGAAAACAGGACAAAGGTGTGCCGGCCTGTGTCACAAGCCCTTGCCAACTTTAACTTACGATGACGGCAGCCATTGGTATTGGCCGAAGAACATTACTGAATTGTTTGACATACTGGCGAAAATAGACGCCAATGAACACTACATGCTTGTCGCCGGTAACACAGCGCATGGTGTCTATCGTCGGTCGGAGTCGTTGAAGCATTTTATTGATGTCAATGCCATTCCTGATTTGAAGAAACACGATGTGTCCAAGGATAAATTGAGTTTGGGTGGCAACATTAGCCTCACCGAAGCAATGGACATCTTCACAAAAGCCTCCGAACAGTCGGGCTTTGAGTATTGCCAACAGATGTGGCAACACTTCGATTTGATAGCCAATGTACCGGTGCGAAATGTGAGTATGCGCTCGTATTATTTGTTTCATTACAGGTTTTTACGTGACTGGATACTCTTGCCTAACAGGCGAATTAGTAATGACAGTGTAGGGGGCAGAAAATGGAAAGCGAATATCAATTAATTATACGAATTATTGCTTGCTTGCAATAATGCGATAAACATGATCTTACGCTGACATATTCAAAGACTATACTAACTACTGAAAATAACCATAACAAGAAACAGATATTACACACGGTACATATCTTCTTGCAGACTGGTACATTGGCCGGCAACATCTACACCAAAAAGGAACATGAAGAATTCCCATCCGACATATTCCTGACATTAGAGGCTCTCAATGCACAAGTGGTTGTAGGCTATTCCACTGAAAAGCGGGAAACAATGTCCTTATCTGACTACCTCAAGGACAGCACATCGAAGTCAGTAATTATTTCATTCGAGCTGCCACCATATCCCAAGGAAACGTTCATTTTCAAATCGTACAAGGTAGGTCAAGCTGATTCTGCTCGAGTCTTCAGTCGTTCACTCTCACCTCTTTTGTGTTGGTTAGATAATGCCACGGGCTCAGAACGCACACGCTTATGTAAATTCAGCCTTCTTATTGGAGGTGGACCCATCTACGGGGGTAGTAAAGAATTGTCGTATCTGCTTTGGCGGCATACGCCCAGATTTTGTCCATGCTGCTACCGTTGAGGATATTCTTAAGGGCCAGTGTTTCTATGAAAAAGATATTGTGGGAAAATTGTTCGCAGCCTTGGATAATACGCTACAGCCAAATGAAGTTCTGCCAGATCCATCTCCCGACTATCGGCGCAAATTGGCATGCGGCCTTTTGTTGAAATTTCTCTTGGAGAGTGCACCCGAAGACAAAGTAAAACCAGAATTTCGCAGTGGAGGACTAATATTAAAGAGAGAGTTGTCATCGGGCATTCAGTCATTTGAAACTCAAAAAAAATTCTATCCAGTAACCCAGCCTGTTGAAAAAATAGAAGGTCTGCAATGAATATATCATGTGACTGGAGAACTCATTCAAACATAATGAATATTGTATTTGTAGGTCTCATTCAGTGTTCGGGTGAAGCTACATACATGAACGATACTCTAACACCTCATAATGCTGTGTACTGCGCTTTTGTCACAGCCACCAAAGTTGGCAGCACCATTGAGCAAATTGACGCATCCGAAGCTCTGGCAGTCCCTGGAGTAGTAGCATTTTACTCGGCGAAGGACATTCCTGGAACTAACACCTATGTTGACGAAGGTTTTGGATATGAGAAAGAGGAGATATTCTGTTCGGAATCGGTTCGTTACTATGACCAGCCACTGGGAATGATTGTGGCCTTTAGTAGTGACATAGCTAACCGCGCCGCTTGCAAAGTCAAAGTAATTTACTCCAAGGGGGCAGACTTGATAATGCCCACTCTGCCAGACGTATTTGCTAATAATCGCATGGAACGGATTCACAATATAGCCCCTTCAAAGGTTAAGGACATTAAGCTATCCGAAGCTGCAGATATTTCTGGCAAGGGAATTTTCGAAATTGGCTTGCAGTACCATTTCACGATGGAGCCACAAACATGTATTGTGGTACCATTTGAACAGGGCCTGCAAGTGTGGGCCACAACACAATGGATGGACCACACACAAGCTGTAATATCTAAAATGCTTCAGATTAAAGCGGCGGATGTCCAGTTGAAGGTCAGACGCTTGGGTGGCGGCTATGGGAGCAAAATCAGCAGAGGGAACCTTGTAGCGTGTGCAGCTTCATTGGCTGCTTACAAATTGAATCGTCCCGCCCGCTTCGTACAAACTATTGAGTCCATGATGAACTGTAATGGCAAACGCTGGGGTTGTCGTTCGGACTACGAGTTTCACATCAAGTCTAATGGTAAAATTGTGGGTTTGAAGAACATATTCTATGAAGACGCCGGCTGCACCTTAAATGAGAATCCCATTGACGGTCATTCAACATTCTGCGCTAAGAATTGTTATGCATTTACAAGTGACAACCTTAAGATCGAGGGAAATGCAGTGGTGACGGATGCTACCAGTTCGACATGGTGTAGAGCACCAGGATCAGTAGAAGGTTAGAAATATATATTCGTGGCAAAAAAATCACAATATTCTTTTCCCATCGCTTTGTAGGTATTGCCATGATTGAAAATATTTTGGAACATATTGCATTTGAAGCCAATATAGATCCAGTTGATGCTCGTATGGTTAACATTGAGGACGGCAGCAAACTGAAAGAGCTGCTGCCACGCTTCGTTGCCTCTACAGAGTATAGGAAGAGACGACAGGAAATTGACGATTTCAATTCCAAAAATCGCTGGTTGAAAAAGGGTCTCGGTATTGCAATAATGGATTATCCCATCTTCTATTTCGGGCAGTATCCAGCCACAGTCTCAATTTATCATACGGATGGTACCGTAGTTATTTCCCACGGTGGGATTGAAATGGGCCAAGGTAAGCCGAAATTTTTAACCATATTTTGTGTACTTTCTTTAACAATGCATACCTCTATTTAACCTAAATGTTCACATAGGCATGAATACTAAAATAGCTCAAGTAGCTGCGTATGTCCTGGGCATTCCATTGGAATTCATAAAAATTGAATCAAGCGATACCATCAATGGTGCCAATTCCATGGTCACTGGTGGTGCAGTGGGCAGTGAAAGTTTATGCTTTGCTGTACGTAAATGCTGCGAAGAACTAAATGGCCGCTTGAAGCCTGTAAAGGAATCCTTAAAGAGCAATGCCTCGTGGGTGGATGTGGTACAGTCGGCGTGGAATAAAAATATTAACATGATCGCGAGTGATCATTACAAAAACGGTGATATGCAAAACTACCACATTTATGGCCTCGCCTTGACCGAAGTTGAGGTCGATATTTTAACCGGCAACCATTTGATCAAGCGGGTGGATATCTTAGAGGACACGGGTGAAAGTTTGAGTCCCTACATCGACATTGGCCAAATTGAGGGTGCCTTTGTAATGTGTCTGGGTTACTGGCTAACGGAACAACTGGTTTACGATCGCCAAACCGGCCAGCTTATGACAAATCGAACTTGGAACTACAAACCTCCAGGTGCTAAAGACATCCCGATCGATTTCCGTATTGAAATGTTGCAGGGTTCTGCAAATCCTGCAGGATTTATGCGCTCCAAAGCTACCGGAGAACCACCCTGTTGCCTGGCTATCAGTGCAATTTTCGCCATTCAACATGCCATTCAGTCGGCTAGAAAAGATGCAGGCCTCAAGAGAGAATGGGTTCGTTTGGGTGCTCCCACAACTCCCGAAACCATAGTGCTGAATGCGGGTAACGATGTGTCTTCCTATACTTTGGAATAGTTTCAGTTGCTATGAAGGATTTCAATGGACGCAAATAGAATAGTTGGTGTGTGGATTTACAGCTAACAATTATTAATTAAATTAAACTGTAACGTCGCTCAATTAACAAACCCCTTAATGAAATAATCACGCAAATAAAATATTATATACATATGTACGCACTCATATACAGTAAATAAACTTGTTTTTATTTCATTAATTTAACCAATAAAATATTTTATTGGTGCGACACTTGTTGCTTTGTCTTATTGTCAATTTGTTAAGAACGAATTGTATGTTCGTGATAACCGGCTATTCGATATGTTATCAGTACTTACATGAGTACTAAAAAAACGTCCTGACCTTGAAGAACTTATTATTTTGTTACACATTGGCTATCTCAATTTTACTTGACAGCGGATGTTTCAGTTTTCTAGCCGTTCTTATTTTATTTCCGATTCATGGTTCTACTTTCGCACATGATGTACTCTGAAAATATGGATACTTGAAATTTGTTGAGGTTTCTTTGACGCTATAAAGCGAATATTTAATGTAATTGAACTAGAGAATTATTGTTTTAGTGTAGTGAATATGCAGTTCTCACAGTATTCTGAAGTTTTAATTTCAATATTTTTATATGAAAATGGTCAATATAGTCAACGAGCATTCTCCATTTTGCAAACTCGAGGTATAACGAATGAAAAAATATTTGAATTTTTACACTGAGTACCGCATATAACGAACGTTTTCCAAACTTGTATACTTATTTTAACGAATTGTACAAGCAAATAAACTCTTCGCCTTAGAAAACTATGCAAATAAGTTTCTATTTCATTAACACGTATAATTTTTTTCCAAATGCATTGTGAATTAGGTTTTTTTTTTTTTTTTTGAATGAAATTAAAACAACATTTTCGTTTTAACGAATGAGACTGACTAACTCGGACGTTTACTCATATTAAACTGGCTTTTGAATCCTTTGATCTGGTTATCACGCACCTTGTTGCATCCAACATGATACTGGTATTCCGAACGAGATTTAATTCCTACAGCACACTATACCACAGAGTGTTATGTCTATGTGCTTTCGTTTGTGACATGCTAACTGAAACGAAAACGTACACGTTATTAATACCATGAGTTTCACAACCTAATTTGTCCACTCAAAAGAAATCGGGGATAAGAAATTGTTGAGAAATTAATTTTTGCAAAATTCCTACCAAGTACCCCATGTAACTGCCGACTTCTGGAGCAAAACAGCAATACGCATCCGAAAAGACATATCTCGCACTAACGAATTTTGCATCAGAGGCGCAATATTCCCCCAAAATTTTTTACGTGAAATGTAACATTATATAGGATTGTAAGGTATATATCGAATCTGTTCAATTTAGATATAGATCCGTATATATGTTATTTCACATTTTATCTATATATGCCAAAACATGGTGTAGGATATCAACAAATCAACGTAACCACAGTTGTCCGTTCCGGTTACTGGTTTTACGTTCATTCTAATTGGATTGCTAATATTCTCTTTGTTTTTTGTTTCCATTTAAATCTACATTCAGACGTTTGAAATAATTCAGTTATTGCTTTGCGGTATATTCAGAAACATCTTAAATTTAACGTGGAACATGGGTATTGAATCTAGTAAAACAGCTATCGGATATGATGACGAAAACAAGTCGTCAATTTCGTTGAAAGTAAATGGAACAATATTTTCAGGTAGGTTAGCATGTTTCAATTTCAACGATCAATATTTTTGCTATTTATTTCCAATTTTTAGTAAACCTTCTAAAATTTGCCCCCTACACAACTCTGAATACATTTCTTCGAGAGCATGCCCAATTAACTGCTACCAAATTTATGTGCTTGGAAGGAGGCTGCGGCGTTTGCCTAGTGGCTGTTAAAGGAAAACATCCAGTTACTGGAGACATCCAAACATGGGCCGTAAACTCCGTAAGTATGCTACATGTAAATCGGTCATCATCATTATCATTCGGATACACTTGGCTTGTTAACTGGTTCGCTTCTAATGAATAAATCGTTATTGCATTATCATGAATATAAAAAATGAAAAAAACAGGTCTGATATATTTTATTCCGTTGCCAAAGCCAACAGTAGTCATCTTGCAAAATAAAAAGTCTAATAATACGTTCGCTGGCTAGTTATTTATTTTATAACCTTACTAGCTTATTTCTAACATTCAAGTATTACCAACATCGAGGACTAAGGCTCACATTAGTAATTATTAATGTGTTTACAATTTTAGTGCCTTACTCTACTGAATACCTGCAACGGACTAGAAATTATAACCTGTGAGGGCATTGGCAACAAAGGCGATGGCTACCATCCGATACAGAAGCGTTTGGCCAATATGAATGGAACGCAGTGTGGCTTCTGCACGCCGGGTTTCGTTATGAATATGTACAGTCTATTGGAGGCGAAAAATGGCGAACTCACCATGGATGAAATCGAGAATTCTTTTGGGGGCAATATTTGCCGTTGTACTGGTTACAGGCCAATATTGTATGCAATGAAATCGTTTGCATGTGACAATACAGGTGGCACACAGGAAGAATGTTTGGAGGATATTGAGGACTTAGTGGGCGGGAAATGTCATAAGGACGGTGATATATGTGGCAGCATGTGCCCATACCCGTTGCAAACACTCATCTATGATGACGGAAGTCAATGGTACTGGCCTAAAACTCTCCGGGAATTAGTGGATATTCTATGTACGATGGACTCGACCTCAGAATATATGCTGGTTTCAGGAAATACTGCACATGGGGTCTATCGCAGGGAAGAATCCTTGAAACACTTCATTGACATCAACACTGTGGTCGATTTGAAGAAATACCAAGTGACTAAGGAGAAGTTGACCTTGGGTGCTAACCTAAGTCTAAGCGAAACTATGGACATTTTCAAGAAAGTCTCGAAGGCTGTAGGGTTTGAGTATTGCGAACAACTTTGGAAGCATTTCGATTTACTTGCAAATGTTCCTGTCCGAAATGTATGTCAATCCTGAGGTATTATCTACTCAACAAATAATAATAATAAAATAATTATCTTTAGAGCGGAACTTTGGCAGGAAATATTTCTATTAAAAAACAGCACATGGAATTTCCTTCAGACATTTTCTTAACGTTTAACGCTTTGAATGCGCACGTGAATGTGGTCAATACGGCTGGAAAACAGGAGACGTTGTCAATTTACAATTATGTCTACAACTATGATGCACCAAAAACGATAATTGTTAGCTTCGAATTGCCAGCGTTTCCCATCGAAAGGTTTATCTTCAGATCCTATAAAGTAAGTTATGATTTATTTTTTATAAATCTCAATGAGATATCTAAAGAATGTCCCGTTAATAGATAATGCCACGAGCACAGAATGCTCATGCCTATGTTAACGCAGCCTTCTTACTGGAGCTCGAACCGAATCGGACAAATAAGATTGTCAACTCGCGTATATGTTTTGGAGGCATCAGTCCCAATTTCGTCCACGCGTCTACCATAGAAGGCATCTTAAGGGGACAATGTTTCTACGACAAGACAGTAGTCCAACAAATATTTTCCGAAATGCCGACAACCATACAGCCAAATGAAGTTCTTACTGAAGCATCTCCAAAATATCGTCGTAAATTAGCTTCTGGTATTTTGTTGAAATTTCTTCTGGAGACTGCCCCCGCAGAACGAGTAAAACCAGAATTCCGAAGCGGTGGTGCCATGTTGAGGAGAGAGCTCTCTTCAGGTGTTCAAATATTTGATACCAATAAAAAATTCTACCCAGTCACAAAAGCTGTCAAGAAAATAGAAGGTAAGTGAAGCGTAGGAAAAAAACATGTATTCATCTCTGTTCATAATTCGTCATACCCGATAGGTTTAATACAATGTTCGGGCGAAGCGACATACATGAACGACATCCTTACCTCTAATAGAACCGTTTATTGCAGCTTTGTAAGTGCCACAAAGGTAGGCTGCAACATTGAACACATTGACGCATCGATGGCTTTGAAAGTCCCAGGAGTTGTAGCATTTTACTCGGCAAAAGATATACCAGGAATAAATTCATTCGTAGATCAAGCTTTCAAGTACGAACCAGAGGAAATATTTTGTTCCGGCTTGGTCAAGTACTACGACCAACCATTGGGAATGATAGTGGCCCTGGACCCCCTTATTGCCAATCTTGCATCCAATAAAGTTAAGATCCTTTATTCGAAAAATATAAATGTAGTACTGCCAACACTTCAAGATGTCTTATATAATAAGTGCTCAGATCGAATCAAAGTCCTTCGGCCGTCACCACTGAAGGATATAATGTTGGTGGACACAGCAGATATTTGCGGCAGAGGCATTTTTGAGATAGGATTGCAATATCACTTTACGATGGAACCGCAGACGTGCGTGGTAATGCCGGTTGAGCGAGGTCTACAGGTTTTGTCCGCAACTCATTGGATGGACCACACTCAGGCGGTGATAGCCAAAATGCTTGGTATAACGGCAGCTGAAGTACAATTGAATGTACGACGTCTGGGAGGTTCGTATGGCTGCAAAATAACCAGGGGAAACGCTGTGGCTTGTGCTGCCGCCCTAGCCGCTTTTAAACTCAACCGGCCCGCTCGTTTTGTGCAAACCATTGAATCTATGATGAATTGCAATGGGAAGCGATGGGGCTGTCGTTCTGATTATGAATTTCATATAAAATCAAATGGCAAAATTGTCGGCTTAAAGAATACATTCTACGAGGATGCAGGTTGCACGCTAAACGAAAATCCGGTCACTTTATTTACCACACCACCGGCAAAAAACTGTTATGCATTTACAACTGACAACTTCAAACTGGAGGGAAATGCTGTGCTTACAGATGCCGCTAGCTCAGCCTGGTGTCGTGCGCCAGCTTCCCTCGAAGGTGAGTTATACCAACAGAGAATCGAATTGTGTGTATTTAATACATCTTTCTCGATTCACTAGGTATAGCCATGATTGAAAATATCTTGGAACATATTGCCTTCGAAGCCAATATTGATCCCGCTGATGCCCGTATGATCAACATCGAAGAAGATAACAAAATGAGAGAACTTCTACCAAATTTTTTAACGTCCACCGAGTATAGAGAGAGACGCAAAGAGATTGACGATTTCAATGCAGGGAATCGTTGGCTAAAACGAGGAATTGGAATGGCCATTATGGATTATTCCTTGGAGTACACAGGTCAACACAGTGCAACAGTTTCTATTTATCACATCGACGGTTCGGTCGTTATTTCTCATGGAGGCATAGAGATGGGTCAAGGTAGGTATTTGCAATGCCTCTGTGGATCTCATCTGAATACAAGCTTATTTTACAGGTTTAAATACAAAAGTAGCTCAAGTGGCTGCTTACGTGTTGGGAGTGACTATGGATTTGATTCAAATCGAATCTAGTGACACTATTAATGGAGCCAATTCAGATGTTACGGCTTCCTCCATGGGCAGTGAGAGTCTATGCTTTGCAGTTCGCAGTGCTTGCAATAAACTCAAAGATCGCCTGAAGCCCGTAAAGGATTCATTAAAACCGGATGCAACATGGAAAGAAGTTGTTAGTGAAGCGTGGCATCGTTCCATTAATATGATTGTTAGTGACCACTACAAACAGGGTGATATGATTAATTACCATATTTACGGCTTAGCTTTGACCGAAGTAGAAGTAGACATTTTAACCGGTAACAACCTGATCAAACGCGTGGATATTCTAGAGGATGCCGGCGAAAGTCTAAGTCCGTACGTCGACATTGGGCAAATTGAGGGGGCCTTTGTTATGGGCTTGGGTTATTGGTTAACCGAGCAATTAATTTACGACCGTTCAACTGGCCAGCTTCTTACCAATCGAACATGGAACTATAAACCACCTGGCGCCAAAGACATTCCCATTGACTTTCGTATCGAATTATTAAAAGGTTCTGCGAACAAGGGGGGATTTATGCGCTCCAAGGCCACTGGAGAACCACCCAGTTGTCTAGCGGTAAGCGTTATTTTTGCTCTGAGGCATGCTGTACAGTCGGCACGCATCGATGCTGGACTAAAAAAGGAATGGTTGCGTCTGGGGGCCCCAACTACACCGGAAACAATTCTTTTGAGTGCGGGCCATGAAGAGTCGTCCTACTCATTGGAATAAAACTAATGCCATCTACAGTTATAAACATATAAATACGAATACGAAATAAAGTAATGCACCAAGCCCAAAGGAAGATTCTCTATTTACTGCGTATTTTTGGCTGATAATATGCAGCACTGTGTAATTAGTTTTCCAATTCAGAGCATGTTCTCAAGAATGTGTTTAGGTTTTATTTGACAATCTTATATACATACATTAACTGGATGATACCAGTGCACGGAGTATTCGACAAGTGTCGTGTTTGAAATACAATAAACATTTCACACACCCATCGCAATAACATTGACATTCACGTAAGTATGTCACACTCACGCTATCTTCGTTCTTTTTCTGAGTATACTTCAGACGGCTCTCTTGGTCGGTATTTATTTTGTTTAGAATTGAAATACAAAGCGAAGTGTTCAAAACAACAATAAATTGCGAACAGAGTCATTAAAAACTATTAGTCGGCGTGCAAGTGATGCCAGATTGTGTTGAAAAGGAATGGCTTCGAGATATGATCGGAACAATTTAATGGCAAGTATACACCCTGACATATAGTTCGCATATGTAGAAATGTATGACGGATAAAATCAAAATACATTACAGTAAAGTACGGTTATAGCGAATTGGTAGGGACCAATCAAATTAGTTTGTTATAGACGAAGTTCGTTATGTCCAAGGTAAGACAAATCCAAGGATTAGCATGAAAAAATATATTAAGTTCCAAATGTTTAAATTATGTGTCCTTTTTCGCAATACTTTTGCTGCTTCTCTTTTCCTTCGATTAACCTGAGATTTGTTGGGAAGGTTGCCAGCGTTAGCTATAAATTAGTTTTTGAGCATGCTTGCCAGTTTAGTATTTTGCATATTTATAGCAAGTTCGTTATAACCGAATTAAAATTAATGAAAGATGGAACCCAATAAACAGTTCGTCATAAAAAAGTTCGCTATATCCGTAGTTCGCTATTTGATTGAAAAAAAGTCTTAAAGCTTCGGGACCAGGAAATGTAAATAAAGTTCGTAATAACCGGTGTTCGTAATTTGTTATTATCGTTGTAACGGTATATTCATATAAATGCACTTTTCATATTTGCAATATGGATACGTTGTAGAGTTGTATGTAATTTCACAACATATTTATACGTATAATAATACAATTTGACAATTATAAATTTCTGTGAAATTACCCTTCATGACACATGCTGATCTGGTAACATTGGTGTTGTTTACTCTGATAATGAATTCCAAATCGTATTTACTGTACTACAATATGCGTGTTTTTTCATCATTACATTTCAAAAAACCTGCGGATTTATAACCCTTCTTTAAAAAAAAATTGTTTTTATATTTTCATAGAAAAAGATTTCCTAGTTGTGGAATTTGTAGAACATTGTGCAATCAAGATGGTAGCTGGAGTAGGTACGAACATATAGACAATCGACATGAATAAATAAGTAAATTAGTTGCGATTAGGATTAAATTCGATTTTTTATGTGGTAGTTCATGTATGTTTTGATGTAATGAATATCAGAAACTGAATCAGAGTCGGACTATGATATCGAGTGTCAGCAGATGTTATTAAAGTGTATGGGTGTAGAGTTAATGTTTGTAACTACTCGTAGTTGTGATGACCCGTAGAAATCATCATCCTGTATAAAGAACTGCTTTTTCCGTTACATATGTCGATCATACTAGGTAGAAATGTATTTGGTCTCGGCAAAAAGAATGTAATTTCCAGAAATCGAATTGGTTATACACCGATATCAACTGAAAATCAACAAAGGTGATAGTAAAAGTAGTCAAGTAAGCACAAATAAAAACAAGACTAATATTTTAAAAATATTCGCTCAGAGGTATGTCACCGTTATCTTGTTTGATATACTCAACGAAAATTAACGTTAGGCCCACACACTATCATCAATGAATAAATAATCTTAAGGGCATTTGATCGCGTCGACAACGATAGTCTAATATATTAAGTGTAAGTATTCATTCGGCCTAATCAGGAAGTCATTCCCAAATCAAACGGTCAGTCGTTACGGAGCAAAGCTACAATAAAGTGCTTACTTGTAGTTATCGCAATCATTACATAAGAATCGAAATTGAAATTGTGAAATTCCATCGATATTTTGTTAAACGAGACAGAAGGAGGATTGGAAGAAATAATGTTAACCAAATTCTCAATAAATGGAAAGGATTATAGCGGTAAGTACTATTACATTTGGGGTGTACGATACTGATATGTATATTGGTCTGTAACATCGATTATTTTGTGTACAGTCGATTTGGCAAGATTGCCGGCCGACATAACATTGAATTCATTCATACGGGACTATGCTGGACTCCCAGCTACCAAATTCATGTGCCAAGAGGGTGGCTGTGGCGTATGTGTGTGCGTGATTACAGCCATGAATCCCGTAACTGGGGAGCCGAGAACAAGAGCCGTGAACTCGGTAAGGTCATATTCATCGACTTTGATTTTCAATTCATCTGAAACAATGCTTTCAGTGTTTAACCCTGCTAAACTCATGCACGGGTTGGGAGATAACCACCTGCGAAGGACTAGGAAATAAACGTGATGGTTACCATCCTATTCAGAAAAGGTTGACAAAAATGAACGGCACTCAATGTGGCTACTGTTCGCCTGGCTTTGTGATGAACATGTATGGTCTGTTGCAAGAGCGAGGGGGCAAAGTCACCATGGAGGAAGTGGAAAACGCTTTTGGAGGCAACATATGTCGCTGCACTGGTTACAGGCCCATATTAGATGCCATGAAATCGTTTGCAGTGGACAGTAACATTATAGTTCCTGAGGAATGTCGCGACATCGAAGATCTTTCGAAATTGGTATGTCCGAAGACCGGACAATCGTGCAGTGGTAGCTGCCAATCAAAAATGGAAAGCCTTGTCTTCAGTAATGGCGATCAATGGTTTTGGCCAAAATCGTTGAAAGAACTTTTCACAGTCTTGTCGCAATTTAAGGACGAAGACTACATGTTAGTAGGCGGCAATACAGGACACGGTGTTTACAGGCGATCACTCCGAATCAACAAGTTCGTAGATATACATGAGATAAAGGAACTTCACGGGTATACAATTTTACCAGATACCTTGGAATTAGGCGCAAATCTAAGCCTTTCTGATGCCATGAACGCTTTCAAGGAAGCATCAGCCCTAAAGGGGTTTGAGTACTGCTCGAAAGTATGGAACCATTTCGATTTGATTGCCAACGTTCCTGTACGAAATGTAAGTACTTACTATTGACATTAGCAAATCTTGGCATTTTGCACTAATCGACACGATTTTCAGATGGGAACTTTGGCTGGTAACCTGTCCCTTAAACATCAATATCCCGAATTTCCGTCTGATATATATGTGGTTTTTGAAGCCTTAAACGTCAATGTTGTCCTAAAAAATGCTGCCGATCAGGAACAAACCGTGTCACTCACGGAGTACTTAAAAACTTCGATGAATAAAAAAATTATAAAATCGTTCATCCTTAAGCCATACTCCAACGACGAATACCTCTTCGAATCGTACAAGGTGAGTAGCACAAATTTGCTATGACTTACGCCAAAAATAATCCCCATGAAATATTTATATGCAGATTATGCCCCGGGCTCAGAACGCACATGCCTATGTCAATGCAGCATTTTTAATTAAAGTTCAAAAACCTGACTTCATTGTTCAATTTGCCAGAATTTCTTTCGGTGGGCTAAGTCCTGAATTTAGCAGGGCTAAACAGTTGGAAAACAGTTTGATGAACAAACCTCTTTTCAAGGCGGAAACAGCTCAGTCCGCCTTTGCCACACTCAAGAATGAAGTCAAAGCTAATCTCGTACTACCCGAACCGTCTCCAGAATATAGGACTATATTGGCTAATGGTCTATTTTATAAATTCTTACTGGCTCATGCACCTGCTGGTGCTATTCACGAGTCGTTCTTATCCGGTGGAAGTATTCTGAAGAGACCCGTATCTTCGGGAAAGCAGACATTTGAATTTAACGACAGTTGCTTGCCTCTGAAAAAGCCCACCGTCAAACACGAAGGTTTGATGCAATGCTCCGGGGAGGCTATGTTCTCGAATGATCTGCCGCCACAAGCCCAACAGTTGTGGGCAGCCTTCTTCACGGCTAAGAAAATTGGTTCAAATATAACCAATATAAATGCAGAGAAGGCTTTGAGCCTACCCGGTGTTGTGGCAATATTCACCGCCAAGGACATTCGTCCCGGAGGTAATCGAGTCTCAATCAAGGACAATTTCTTTTTCATGGAAGATGAAGAACTGTTCTTGGAAGGAGAAGTAAAATATTATGGTCAACCTGTTGGCGTTGTAGTGGCTGAGACAAATGCTCTGGCGAACAGAGCCGCCGAAATGATTGAACTCACATATGAAGGTGGCCGCAAGGAAGTATTCTCCACCATGAAGGAGGTACTAAATACTGCAGCAGCTTCTGATCGAATTCGTCATGAAATCAAGTCGGAATATTCAGCGTCAGGAACATCAAATAGCGTGCAAAATCAACAAATCGAGCCCTTCGATGTAAACGGCAAAGGAGAATTGGACATGGGCCTACAATATCATTTCTTTATGGAACCACACACTACAGTGGCGGTTCCAGTCGAGGGCGGTCTCCAATTGTATGTGGCAACGCAATTTATGGATTTGACCCAAGACATTGTCGCCAAGATGTTGGGACTACGCAGTAACGATGTTCAGGTAAAAACCCAACGTATTGGAGGTGGTTATGGTGGCAAGGCCACTCGTTGCAACTTCCTTGCATGTGCCGCAGCCTTGGCCGCATATAAACTGAATAGACCTGTACGTTTCGTCCAATCCATGGAATCGACGATGCAATCCTTTGGCAAACGCTGGCCATGTCACATCGACTACGACTTCTATGTGCGAAATTCTGGAAAAATAGTTAAGTTGATTTCTTCCTTCTATGAAGATGCCGGGTTTTGTCCCAACGAGTCACCAATGGGCCATACTGTGTTGTTATCGAAAAACTGCTACGAGTTCACGAACGACAACTTTATTTTAGACGGCTACATGGTACTCACCGACACTCCGTCCAACATTGCCTGCAGAGCCCCAGGATCCATTGAAGGCATCGCTCTAATAGAAAACATAATGGAGCATATAGCTTTCCAGTTGGACATGGATCCAATGGAATTGCGGATGGCGAACATTATTACGGGCCACAAACTATCGGAAATGCTACCGAAATTCCTGGAATCGACCGACTACAAAAATCGGCGAGCAGGAATTTTGGACTTCAATAAAAACCATCGTTGGGTAAAGAGAGGGCTCGGCTTTGCAATAATGGAATATCACGTTGGCTACTTTGGACAATTCCCGGCTACAGTAGCAATTTACCACGGAGATGGAACAGTCGTAATAACACACGGAGGCATTGAGATGGGTCAGGGCATGAACACAAAAATTGCCCAAGTCGCTGCTCACACCTTGGGCATTCCACTGGACCTGATACGAGTGGAAGGTAGTAACACCATCAACGGTGCAAACTCAATGGTCACTGGAGGTTCGATTGGCAGCGAGGTCGTCTGCTTTGTAAGTTCATACATGTTGTAATACGCATATTTCGATCAGTTTTTGAAAATGTATTCGCATTGTTTGCAGGCCGTGCGTAAGTGCTGCAATACCCTACTGGATAGACTTCGACCATTCAGGGAGGAGTTGAAGGATCCTTCATGGCCAGACCTAATCAATTTGGCTCATCAACGTTCCACTAATCTTATAGCCAGTGACGGCTGCAAGGCTGGTGAAATGGATCCTTACACGGTGTGTGGACTGGGTCTCACCGAGGTCGAGGTAGACATGATAACTGGCACCTATTTGGTGAAGCGTGTTGATATCCTGCAGGATGCAGGCGAAAGTTTGAATCCCAATGTTGATGTAGGACAGGTGGAGGGAGCCTTTATCATGGGCCTGGGTTACTGGACCAGTGAGCTTTGTGTGACAGACAAAACAACGGGACAACTCATGACAAATCGTACGTGGAATTACAAACCACCCGGCCCAAAAGATATTCCCATAGATTTTCGTATTGAACTTTTGGCCAAGAGCCCTAACAAAGCTGGTTTCATGAGATCCAAAGGTATGTCACACGCCATTTAAAATTCAGGCATGCATTTTAATTATATCTTTGACTTTTAGCCACTGGTGAACCCTCAATATGTCTGGCCGTAAATGTTACGTTTGCTCTTCAGCAAGCCATACAATCAGCTCGGGATGATGCCGGCCTCAAAAAGAAATGGATCACTCTAAACGCTCCCATGACACCGGAGTATATACTTCTGAATGCCGGTACCAATGTAGATATGATGACATTCCCCAAAAATAATTAGACAAGTAGCACTGAGGATAGTTCGAACAGATATGCTGATGCCTTTAACGTCGGTTATGCATCGCACTGAATTGTGAAATTCCTTTTAAATAACATCCATATTTTGTTTGGGCTTTTATTAAAGTATTTGGGGCCATGTAGGCCTCGGCGAAGTGAAATTAATTAATTAACATATCATTTGAATTATAATAATTGTGATGTTTATAATAGTTTACTTTGATTAATTTTAAAACACAAAAACGGCATTAGTAAGTTTATGTAAATCGAGTTTATAATAAATTTTGCTAAATCATTTCTAATCGAAATGTACATATTGTTTGAATTTCAAAACTGGACTCAGATTACTACTAGCTGGAATAAACAATTAAAATGTCCTTTCTATTATTTATAAATACAAATTCAGTTTCTAGAATAAAATAATAGTACAAGTTGGCCATGTTTCCCGAAGATAATAACTAAGAAAGTGGTGCTATGTGTATCGTATTTTAAAGAACACCCCAAGCCAAATCGAATGAAGCAACAACCAATAAACAAATTGCCCTTACTTATATATAGATTGCTGCAATGCAACAACGAAAAGACAAATCCAACTTGAAATTCGTATTCGTCCAATAAACGTTCGTTTGAATTTTTCTAGCACTTTGTTAGCTGGGCATGCGCAACGACACATACACCTCGCAAAACCACGACAAGATACAAGTAACATAAGTGACGCGCAACCAAGACAAAACTGAAAATAGACTATATTCTAATTTTTTTTCAAGATGTGTTGATATTTATTGCAATCTGTGGGCGCCCAGCAAGACGACGGATGAACAATACAAGATTTGTTGTTATTATCACGTTATTCTGACAAATAACATATAGAGTTATTTTTATCATGTAATTTCCGATTAACTGTTACATTAGAGCGGAGAATTGGTTTTAAAACTTGTTGGTATTTTTATTATGCAATAATTGCATTAAGTTCACTGGGCTGAACCCCGCCAAGGCCGATAGATCAAAATGTGACAAACCCATAAAAGTGGGTACATACTAAAAAAAAATCAGTTGCCCACAATTCAAATCGCCCTTAAAAAAGTCAACCAACAATGAATACATACGAATCAGTACGTATTAATTTTTGGAAACATATCTAAAATTTAATCAATCTATTGATGCGAAATTGGCACAATCCCCATCGATGGAATCCGCTGTCCCACTCGGCATTGGAAATGCAGACGAATGAAGGCGAATCAATTCGAAATCTGTCTAAAATAAACACAAACTGTAACAAATTAAATTAATAAATTTGAAAACTCACCGGACAATGTGTGCCAAAAGCAACACACTCCTTCCATTGAATCAGTTCGTACAAACTAAATTATACCAGTGGCATGTTTCTTGCCCCCCAAAGTGCACTTTATGCCAATGAGAATCGATTGTTTTGACTATATTCGACGACCATCATCAAGTCCTTAAAAAGCGTGTGTAGTCCCAGTGAAAGGAAAGGAAAGGACCGCTTGTGTTTGACATTCGTTGCTGTTGCATGTTAAAAACTCCAGTCGAATGTATTAATTACAGCAACGCCGCAAGGAACACACTGGACATGCTGAGCTCAACGATCTACAGTGGTTGCAGCCAACCTGACGAATTTACAGCGTAATCATTTGCTGAAATTGATCCAACCAGACTACTCATTTCCCCTCTGAATTGAATTCAAATTGAAACAGGTCCATAAATACCTACCAATGTGTAAAACGAGGTGGACCAAGAGGTCATAAATTCGACCAGCATATGACGTAGAACGAGGAAATAAAACAAACAATTTCCAAATCACTGTTCACCATAACTAATGGATTCCTGCGAGCGAAAACAATAATATGCAGGACATTGTAAAAGGAGTACGTGGTCTGCCCTTGGTGTTCACTGTTATTACTATTGTGGCGTGACCATGGCCAATGGCTAGCAGGGTTGTTGGTAAAAATGTTTGAAATTCAATTTACATACACTCATCGTTGTTATGGTAGTCGTCGTCATCGTCATCGTAGCCGTACATGTTGAATCATTTCGGACCATAAAGAACACATAATATTTCATAAAAGACAATGATTGCTGTCCCCGCCTGGATTTATTTGCATTCGGATGGAGTAGCGGCGGATTGGTTACATATGTATGCACTCATTCAAATACAGACAAACATGCGTTTCCAGATACGAACTCCAAATGCCAGCGGAGCAATGGACGAAATATCCAACGCACTTCACAGGATATTTGTATGTATAGTGGAGAAATTATCGACATTGTGTAACGTATAACTCTGTAATTATGTAAACAAATTGAATTAATTACATTTTGTCCCAATCATCAATACGGGAGCACAATAGAACGCACATACATATATCCACAATACGACAGCAATTCCAATGCAATAACCAACAGGGGATATGCAAATGTGTCGGGACCAGAGAAGACCATAATGTCATGAACAGCTAACGGTCGAATGTATATATATGTATATGTATATATGGGTAATATTGCCAATTTTTGAACATAGCTGAAGCCGAGGTTCACCCATTTATAACTCGGGAATTATTAAAGTATATGAGCAAAATTGAATAATTCTGAATTTAATGGTTTGCAACCTTTCATGATATTGACCTTCAAACAGGGAGAGTCAACCCAGGTTTTTTATGTTTTTTTTTTCGATTTGTGACTAAGCCACTATATCACGGCCTTCGTGCCAAAGTTAAAGTTGAAGCCTACAAAATGAGGATTGTGTGCCTTATGTTTCGTTTTCCGAATTTACCTTAAAATTATGCTGACATTTGTAGCTTGATCAGGAATTTCCCAAAATATTTTAAAATTGTCAATATTGCTCATGACAACCAACCAAAAGGAGCTAAACGATATAATCCAGCTTTGCACTTAATCTAAGCTATGAATACAAATCAACACCCCCTTCGGTCTTCACGATATGTACGTTTCCAATGTTTTGACCGTTTCATGTCATAGGTGTCAGAAGGAAAGGAAAAATAGTCTGGTTGTACAGTATTATTGTTTATTCGTCCCTTACATTTCTCAACCATTAACATAACTCCTTCTTCCGTTATCAACGGTATTTTTATTGTTGACTTCTTTTTCAATTGGTACGATACGCAACATATTCAATTTCATGATTGAATTATAAGCCTGATATTGGCATATGACTTTTGAAATAATAAATTGCAAGTCTGTCCGCCTATTTGATTGTTTGCTACACGTATTGGAAATTAACAAGTACCCAACAATTGATCTACAGGCCAATATATGAAAAACAACAAAAGAAATTAAAAATAAAAATTCAAAAATAAATATTCTGTAACTTCTGCTGCTAACCTGGCCACTACTCATTCATTGCCACAATCCATTGCCTTTGCTGCCATTTAATCGGTTTAAAACAAAAGTATCGAAAAACATTGTAACATTTTTAATTACATTTTATGAGTTCGAAAATAAAGACGTGGCCGGATTTACATATGAGGGGACCAGGCATCGTTGTCAGCGGAGGACCACACACGTTTCCATCATTGGGCAAATGTCATAAGAATATGAAAACAAACACACCACACACACACTCCAGCAGAATTGTTGAAGTACCCACCAAATAGGTTCCAATTCATTTTAACGGTGTGTTCTGAGGACTGCAGATGCTTGTGTTTACCGTTCCCCCTTCAAAATATGCCCAAACTGTAATCTAATAATCTCAAGAGCCGTAACAACAACAACAACATCTAAAATCATATTGGTTACAAAAGTGTGTGGTATCCACTGATGGTTTTTCGGTGCGAGTACAGTGCAGTGCGGTCAGAAGAACTACGATGGTTCCTATGTTTGCTCCCACTACTACTTCGTGGCCCTCCCTTTGAAAATGTATTTCGTTGGGAAATTTTATAATTTCTATTGAAATTTGAAAAATTATATTTTACGACGAAAAACAAACAAATGCCAAACTGTCGATCCCAAAAAAATGTTACATTTACGTCGTGACGAGTGGATGATGATTCAATGTTTTTTTTTTATTAAAAAACTTGAATGCAATACAGAGTCTTAAGAGCGGACGATATGGTATGTGTCTGTGGGCTGTCATTGCTACTTGGAGTGGCACTCCATCAATCACTTTCCCCAATGGAGCCTCTGTGTCAGATTTGGAGCAGGAGAAAACAAAGCAAGGGGGATTATCGAGATTGTGGCTAAATGACATATCCACAAATCACCGAAGGTAAAACAAACACATGGCCTTCACTGTCATTCCCATCACTACAGCATTTGTAGGTATCGCACATTGTTGGAATATTTGTGTTTTAAGCATTCTTAGGCTGCGATTTTTCTAATTGCTCCACTTGCATAAAGTGGTTTACGAAAACAATATTGGCGTTTATCTGATCCCCCAACCGAAAGCGACAAGATTTTAGAAATCAAACAAAGATGACATCAAGAAAACAAATAAATAATTTCTTTGAAAATAGATGAGAACATTTAAAGAATTTACATGGATTAAACATTTTATACGTAGCTATATTACATCTTTTATTTATGTATGTAAAAAATAAAAAATAGTAATATAAATTTTTCATGCTCTGTTCACGAACCTACAAGAATCTTCTACGGCATTTACATTAGAACTTTTATGAGGATTTATTTGGCATATATTCAAAGGAATTGACAATTTAAATCCACTGGGTTAACCAAATCCGGTACTATGTAAACATACTTTTCAACTAATCGAAATTGTTTTGGATTTTCTCTTTATACAATTGCAAAGCTTTGTATATTCTGAAACCGAATAAATATTGTAAAAAAATTCAAAATCTAAATGCAACTACCATTCCGTCATAATGTTGACAATAAGGAAATTAGTAAAATGTTTTGAGTTGAGTTCAGTACGAGCAAGGTTTATATAAAGGTTTATATAAAGCCAAAATATATTGAATTCAAAAAGATAACCATAGTTAGCTTTGACAAAGGCATCGATAAAATTTT